CCCCCCACCTCTCCCTTTTAGCTCTGGCCTCCAGCCTCTTTGCCTCCCTTCTTATCATCTCATTGCCCTCTGGTAGCCTTGGCCTCTGCTGTGAGCTCAGCTCTTCCTTTCCCTCCTTCCTATCAGGCCTCTCTGATGCTCACTCCTAGTCGTAGCGGTTTCAGTCCTCTGCTGTGCCATCAGTGCTAAGGGTCCATTTTTCTATCCCCAGTGCCAAGATTAGAGACTGGATAGGCAAGGCTCTGGTGAATGTTAGAGGGGAAATCACACCCCTTTACTGCTAGTGGAAAGTAGAAGCTCTGCAAGAGAAAGGCTTCAAGTCAGAGGGAGGGAAGTGCCCTCTACCTGGCCTGGGTGAGAGAAGAAAAAGGAAAGAGCCTTGGAAGTGGGACTGTAAGGCTGTCCTGGGTGCAGTGGAAGAGCACCCCAGAGGAGTCAGGCTGACCTGCTGACTACTGGTGAGTGCACTGCACAGGTCGCTTAACCTTTTGAGCCTGTCTCATCTTTAATTTTTTTTTAATCCTCATCCGAGGATATGCTTTTATTGATTCTTTAGGGAGAGAGGAAGGGAGAGTGAGAGAAACATCGATGGTTGCCTCCTGCATGCACCCCAACCAGGGATCAAACCTGCAACCCAGGTATGTGCCCTGTCCCAGAATCAAACCCGCAACCATTTTGTTATACAGGATGACACTCCAACCAACTTTGTCACCTGGCCAGGGTGCCTGTCTCATCTTTAAAGTAGATGTCATAATAACACCCATCCTGCCTGTCTAACAAGGTTCTTATGATGATTTAAATATGATGTTTGCTGTTTTAAAAAGGTGAAGTAGTAAGGTTTTCCTCAGTCTTCCCAATCTATAGTCTCCTTCACACTCCCATTCCCACTCCCTGCCGCCTACATTACCACATATGCCAAAAACTCCCTAACCTGCATCTCCAGCCAAAAAGCTATCTCTGAACTCCTAAATAGTACACAACTATCTCAAACTCAACATGCCCAGCATCTTCCTCCCCGTGGTCTGGTTCACTAGCTCCTACCAAGCGTCCTAAATCTGAAACTTGAATCATGCTTGATTTCGGTCTCCCTCATCCCCATAGCCAGGTTGTAAATCCTGCCTACTCTAGCTTTTTGATATCTCTTAAGTTCTCTCCAAAGATACACACACACACATACACTCCTATGTCGATTCAAGCCCTCACTCATTTGGAGAACTGCATTTGGTTTTTCTGCCTTCAGTCTTGATCCCTTTCAATCCAGTCTCCAAAGTTGTCTTTCTAGACAAATCCACCAATGTTTCTTTGCCTGAAACACTTCATTGGCTCCCAAAGTATTCAGTACAAGTATGCACTCCTGAAAGATCCTGTAATGACTAAGGCTGGCCCTTGCTCACCTCTCCCAGCTCATCCATTGTCACTGTCCTCACACTTTACACCCCAGCATTGTGAACCCTTAGCAGTTTGGGGACAATCTCACCATGTTCATGCTTTTGTATCTGGCTCCTCCTGCCTCTAAAGCAACCTATCCTGCCAGTCTCCTCTATGACTCATTTAAGCAGCAGCATCTTCTCCAGAAAGCTCACCTTGACTCTGCAGGCTGGATTAGGTGTGCTTTCTTCCTGATCTCATAGGACCCTCTGTATGCCACAATTTATGCTCAACACATTTCCTATGTTAGAGGTTTCATGGCTATTTCTATCTCTGAGCTGTCAAGTCCTGGCAGGCAAAGGATGACTTTGTGTCCCCAGTTCTGGCCCATAGTAAAATGCTCAATAAATAATTTCTGAGTAGCCCTGGTCAGTGTGGCTATGTTGGTGGAGCGCTTTCCCTTACAACAAAAGGTTGCGGGTTTGATTCGAGGTCAGGGCACATACCCAGGTTTTGGGTTCCATCCCTGGCTGGGGCACATACAGTAGGGGCACATAGAGGAGGCAACCGATCAGTTTCTCTCTCACATCGATGTTTCTGTATCTCTCTCTCCCTTCCTCTCTCTCTAAAATCAATAAAAAACACACCTTCAGGTGAGGGTTAAAAAAAATAATAATTGCTGAGTGAATTAAAGTATGACTAGTTGATAAAGAATAAATAGTTAGCAAATATTTACTGAGCATTTACTATGGGCCAGACAATATATATTGAGTATATGTTGTGCCTGCTTTCATGAAGTTTAACGCCACATAAAAGTAAATATACAATCACTTATAAATTAATAAAAGCTTTTACGTGTGTGACTAATACAACTTTGTATATGATGATTTCAGGAAGATTTGTGCTAATCAGATGAGGCCTGGATTCAGGTTTTGTCAGGCTTGAAGTTTATATAATTTGGGGAACCCCTATTAAGAAAACAAAATTATGAATATAAAATTAGGTATAAAAGTTAATGTTTATTTAGATTGAGAAATCACAACCGGTTGCAAATGTTAAGGTGACAAGTACCATAAATATTACAAAGCTAGATAAAAGCTCATTTATGACTAAAGATGTTAACCACTTGTCACTCATTGCAAATGAAATACCATGTGTTTTGCTATCATTTTACTGTGGTGTTTTATGTTTTGGTTGTACAGAAGTTGTAATCACATACTGTTTTTTAAAAAGCTAGATAAACAACCTGGCCGGGTATCTCAATTGGTTAGAGCATCATCCTGATATGCCAAAGTTGTGGGTTTGATCCCCAGTCATTGCACATACAAGAATCAACCAATGAATGCATAAATAAATGGAACAACAAATCAAGGTTTCTCTTTCTAAAATCAATAAATAAAAAATTTTAAAAATTAAAAGATAAATAAGTAACATATATTTGTAGTAAATAACTACTCAATACACCTTTATAATACTTTCACATCCTGCCCTGGCCAGTGTGGCTCAGTTGGTTGGGTGTTGTCCTATGCACTGAAAGGTTGCTGGTTCGATTCCTGATCAGGGCACATGCTCAGGTTTCGGGCTCGATCGTTGGTAGGGGGTGTGCAGGAGGCAGCAGATTGATGCCCTCCCCCCCACTTCTTTAAAAATGAATAAAAATATCCTTAAAAAAACATTAAAAAATAATAATACGCTCATGTCCTACCTTTTTCTTACAGGTGTACTCTTTGAGCACCTCTCCATATGATGATGATTTTGTATTATTATTTTCTGTTCTCTCTATATCTCAGTCTTCCCTCTAGTATAAACAACTTAATTTTTTCCTTTCATTATTGAATTTATAAATATCTCTTTTGGCTTTTGAGTTTATAAGCATCTCTTTGACTCATTATTGGTAAGGTCAAAACCTCTATCAAATTCCTTTCCTACAAGAGCTATGAGATTCCAGACCATTTCAAAACATTCACATGCTGTGATTCACCTTAAAAACTGTTTAAATTGTTGGCACTCATTAACCAGGGCTTTGGGGAGGAGCGAGGCAGGTGAGGTGTAAACTTCTGAGCTTTCAGGTAAATTTAACTCTTAGACTTGACAGGGTTACATGGGCCTCAGGACGGGG